ACCCTACATGACAAAAAAATATTGTAATTTTATTTTACAAGTGCAAAAACAATATTTCACAAGTAGGTCATGTCTGATCTGATCATGTGTGATAGTGGCGATTGTGTTCAATCACATTAGCTTGCAACTTCCCCGTGCCTTTAAATTGCCTCACAGCGCCACCAGCTGTTGTTGGCTGGTGGGTGCAAAGATTGTGCCAAGCGTCATGTGATATTTTTAATTTCGTACATTTATTAGAAATAAGATGTGTGTTTGTTTGTCAAAAACAAATGCATTGTATTGCAAACCAGTGTTTGCAAGTGAATGGTAAGACATATGTACAACATGTTTGTTTGTTCCATAGAATTTTGCAGTTCATAGTTCACCAAAGTTGAACTCCACATAAAGCCAAGCTGCCATTAGCCTCGCCACAAGTTTACAAACTGAATACTAATAAAAAGAGGCAGGATTAAAATGATTTGGGTCTTAATATATGATGGCTGACAATCAGGGACCAATGTACAGGACGTGTTTATCGCCTTTCAGAAAAGAAGGAAAATCCACCATACAGCTTTGTTGACATAGGTTACACTGGTTACTGTATGAGGCAAAGATACACCTCCATTACAGGGCTTATAGAATAGTCACATTTTGGAAAATACATAGTATTCTACTCATGTCTGTGCAAACTGAGGAGAGATGGTTAGCTTAGCTTAGCTTAAAGACTGGAATCAGGGGGAAACAGTTAGCCTGTTCAGAGTTTAAAAAAAGCCCCAACCAGTTAAAAGTCATTATCTGAAAGCCTGGATCTCATCCGTAAAGTCGGCACACATGCAGAAAATGACTGGCTGAGGTTACCAGTCCTTGCGTGATGGAACTATTTACTCTGCTGATGGTGTTTGAAATGAACATGTGACATACAACATGTTTATTAGCTTCAGAGGAGCTGAAATTATTTTCAACTTCGGACAGAGGCAGCCTGTTTCCCTTTGTCTCTATGGTAATAATCTCCTGGCTCAAGCTGTTTGCACACAGACACGGCATTCATACTCTGTCATCTACCGCCAGTCAATTTCCAAAAATGTCAGTCTATTTCTAACCCCTATAATTTGGGGGGTTTGTTTAACACTATGGTCTATTCAAAAACATAACTCCATAAAGTACTCTTGCTATCAACTACATCTCACAGTCCTCAGGAGTAACTTCAGGTGGTTGTATAAGACAAACAAATCTACCAAGGAGGATCATGGGATGTGGTCAAAAGACCAAAAAAGCAACTGAGTGGACTATGTGTAGATTTTTTTTGTGAAATTACTGTTCCCAGGGTCCCAACCACTGTGAGGATGAAATATTATCTATAAAGTTCTCTTCCAGTGTAACCGTAGTTCTCTCCGAAAGGTCACACTATCAGGTATCACTTCCAGTTTTAATGCACAAATTGTTCTCAGTTGCACAACCTGGAATTAACCCCCAAATTTTAATTGTTACCATCATTTCACCATTAGCCTTAAACTGGAAATGCATTCATTATGTCATTATAAGAAGTTCCTATGTGGGATTTTCATTTATGAATTTAGTTTTAGGGTGGATTTTTCTCAAGCCACCATCTTTTCACCAGCGTTATGTTTCAAGCTCTGTAGCACTAAGCACATTTCATCATTAACTGCGTTTGACTCAACCCTGCTATTTTTTCCACACATCATTAAGTTTATTATCAAGAGATCTAGCATTGAACTGATATTAAACAGCAAAAAAGAAAATATCAGGATAAGTGCACATTTGAAACAATTGTACAAATCTTTTCTCAGACAAATAATGACATCATTATATACAGTATACCAGCCTCCCTTCTTTTCTTATGTTTTTTTAACAATACAAAGCAAGTCCATACTGCTGATGCTCTATTGACAATATAGAGGTGAGCTGTTTGTGGATGCACTGCAGATGATGCTCACTGGTTAAACAGCAGTGTGAACACCAAGTGAAAGCAAAGTCCGAACAGATTAGTGATGGAGAAACTGACCGGTAACCTTAGAAAAAGGAAAATTAACTTTGAACTAAAAGCCTGTTTGGTGATTCATTACTCATGTTTCCAACCATTCTGGACACATTTTCTAAAAGGTAAAAGTTTCCCATGTCTCACTGACTCTAAGCTGGTGGTTGTCAGAAGATGTTACTCATCACTGGATACTTCAAAACTCCGGCCAGTCTTAGGTCAGAATGACGTGAGACAAAGTAACACTGATTAAAAAAAATAAACTGATGTATGTCTTTTTTTTCAAAGTCATTGAATGTCCAAAATCCATAATAAAAGATGTGCATGCATTGCAAGACTAGGAAGGTTCACTGATCTCTGCTAAAGAGAAGACCTGGCTCAACCTCTGGAGTCTTTTTACTTCCTTTCATTACTGAAGTTACTATACGGGACGAATAGAGGGAATAAACTTACACTGGGTCAAACTGTTTTGCATCTCAAGATTAAATGCTAAAAGAAGGAAGTCTATGGGGAGGCTGTGTTCTGGTGCAAAAGTTCTGAACTGCAGCCGTGTACAAAAGCAACTGAATCCATTTCACAGATCAATTGAACCAGGTCATAGGCTACAGGCGTTATGTTTGTCGACTGTACAAAGATACAACACGTTCAGTGTTTAAAAGGGACCAGGTGGGAAAAGAAGGCTGTTTCCTGGTGAAGCCGGTCAACTGTATAATAAAGAGCCGCCCTTTGGGTTTTAGAGAAGGGTCAGAAATGTTCAGCTTTCCCAGTGACAACCCAGAGTGACTGAATGACTCATGAATCACTTTGGAATTAGCCATCTTTATCCATCTGGTCAATGTCTCCTCATCATCCCTGATTTACAAGTCTAGGTTGTGATACTAGCCACAATTAAAAGGCACATGTCACACAGAATATGGTAAAGTTTCTCTGAGCATTCACAGCTTTGAAGCATGAAGATAACAGGCTTTTATAAACTTGTCTTTATTACAAGTAACTTTTGTTTCTGTTTTGCATCTGAACAGGTAAAAGCCAATCACAAATTTTCTGGAGTAATTTTGCACTATGCTGATTAATGACAGTCCTAAAGACAGCAGCTCATTAAAAGGATAGTTTTGACATTTCAGGAAACGTTTGAAAAGAGGAAGGATCAACATGACTCATATATTGTGTCGCATTATCACATTGGCAGTTAGTTAGCTTAGCTTATCATAGAGACTGGAAGCAGAGGGGAAATGCTAGCCCAGTAGCCACAGTGCCAGGCCAAGAAATAATTAGTTCTGAAAAAAACTGATTTTTGTAGCATGTTGGCGGGTTTTAAAGGTGCTGGCTGGATGTTGTTAACTCTGCACATAGGCAGGCTGGGTATTTCCCCATTTTCAGCCTTTAGCTAATCCAAGCTAATAACCTGCTGGTTCATTCAAATCTCAACAATAAGATGGGGAGGATTTTTTGAAAATGTCACACTATTCCTTTAGAGAAAGGACAGATTTCTAATTCCTGAACAACTGAATAAATCAATTTAATCAGTAAAGTTGTTCTTTCCACAACATTGACACATACCTAGCAATATTAAAACTGAAAATCAGGACCAGCATACAGCCAGATACTGAATGAATTACAGGGATTTGATGTATAAAATTGGGATCTAATGTTGACAAACCTATGAATACGCAGAGAAACCTTGAGAAACTTTTTTTGCTTTGAATTTTCAATTTTACAGCAACTTTCTCACATTTCAACAGGTTTTCAAAAGAAATCAAATGAATCCAAACAAATGTCCCCATGACTCTTATTTTCATTCATTAATATACAAAAACTTGCTATGCTAGCTCATCAGGGTAACTGGAGTCTGTTTGAACGTAGGGCACAATTCAGGTCAACTGAGAGTGTAAATGATCAATAAAGGCCTTCGTGCCGCCCTATTTGGATGGCGCTGATGTTCAGTAGCATCCTTCATTTAGTGACTCGACAAAACAGCAACATTTCAAGATGAGAGCTTCAAGTCTACACAGGTCTGTTTTTTTCTGATGTTCCTCTGATGTTGAGAAACCTGCACTACTTAGAAAAGTCAATTTCTGCTCTTTGAAGGTTGTTCTCTTGTTTCTGTCTATGTCACTGAGTCACTATCACAACAAAGATAGTTCTAGAGCAAAACTACAAGACTGGACATCGTACAAGACTAATAGACCTAAATCTGTCGAAATTCTCTTTGACCATTTGGTCTATCCAAACGAATTCTAAGAAATTCATACAGATTCATGGAATGAATGATCCAAGAAAGAGAAAGCCACTTGTACTTAATGTCCGAAACATGAAAGAAAAAATGGCAGCGGTGTTACACTGGGTTTAAACATACACTATTAAAGGATTTGACCTATTCAGGGTAAACCGGATATTTTAAGAATGGGCCAAATTCACAGAAATTGAGAAGCATAAATTCAAGGCACAAAGATGTTTTCTTTTTTTTTTTTAAAAGACTTGTTATGACCCAGAGGAATGGCAGAAAAGTGACAGTGATCAACACAAAGGATTTAACCAGACTTGTGATAAGAATTGCTAATCACAAATTGCTTCTAATCTAAGTGGTTTCTATAAAATTTACTGTGCCTCTAACTTCAGGTGACATTCACAGTCCCATTACTAATAACCAGGAAGTAGAAAACACACCTGAAATATTTTTTAAGACTCCAGGCAGAACTGAAGAGCTAAATGAAAAAAGATTAACACAGAAAATATTCAACTAAGACGATTGGGCCCACAATGAGTTGGAAAACCAGAGAGAATTAAACTTAAACCACGTTTTTATTATATCAAGGCATTACTCACAATAACTTGTTTCCTCTACACTAATACTCGAAACACTAACTGCAAAACAAAAGTTAAATACAAAGGTTTTCATAAATTAAAGAAAGCTCATGGGATCAGGTGACAGGAGGTCAGCACTGACGATGTTGCTGCTTTATCCGGTTTGTCTGAAAGCAAAGTTGATGCACTAATTTGAAAGGCATCTATCCTCGACTGGTTTGTTAGTAAAAATAACCGCAGTTAAGTTCATCTTGCAGCCTAATCTCAAATATCCCTTTGTTGATGTTAGAAAGGTTGTGATCAGTGTGGATTCTAGTTGATAGAAGAGATCCATGAAGGCTGATGGGAGTGTGACAACCGCGTGGACTCTGTAAGTGATGATTGTGCTGAATGCTTTCATCACGTGTCAGAGTTTATTCTATAGCCATATAAAACTGTGAATGTACTAGTTTAATCTGTGATTCTAGCTGTGGTTTGTTGGTTTTATAATCCTTAACTGCATAATCTTTATAATGGACAGCAGTTCATCTCATTTTGTGACCTGCTGGTGACGCTCCTGTCTCCCTTTGCTTCACTCATGACTTTTTAACAGTTTATTTGCATCAAAGTGCCTCAGATTTATGTTTCTCCATCGCTATGCCTTCGACTTCTCTGAAATCATGACTGGTCCAACAGTCGGAAAGAATGAAAGAATTTTACAGTATGCAGACCGAAGCAAACAAAATACAGACAATTTAAATGATGAGACTGGTAAATCATTCACTGCTGAGTGAATCCTAAGTGCCAAACCATGTTCCCCATGTATATATAAGTAATTTGAGAAACACCAAAACACGTCTGCCCCTTACTTCTCAAAAAGATTTTATATTTTACAGTTGATAATTAAGTCTTTCTGGAATCATACCTGAAAGACTGTAAAGAATTTATAAACTTGTGACTGCCAAATGTTGGATTTTGGAGTTTTATACCACCAAAAAGTTTTTCTCCACCTGTAGGATCTAAAGGGAGGGAACACATGCTTTCAAATGTAGTTGTGAATCCCTGTTATTTTCTGTTTCACCTCACTTCTTTTCTCTCGAGTGAGCATTTTCAAACAGGGCAGTGACAAAAAAATGCAAAACAAAAATTTGTTGTTGATAGGAGAGGGGGTACGTTCAGGGATAATCCCTCAGTAAGAGATGATCTTTAGTCAAATCCCTCCTCTTCTTTTCCTTTTGTCCAAAAACGGTACTGATTATTTTATTTGTCACTCCACAGAAGAGCGCAAGATAGCATACCAGTCAAGAAGAGTCCAGAGCAGTACACTCACAGACCAGACCAGTAGATACCAGACGACCTCTGGTCTACAACTTCACTACGGTAAACTTCCATGCTGATGAAATATGTGTATTCACGTTTGACGAAAAAAAGAAAGAAAAAGCGAGAGAGAGATTGAGACTCTACAATGGTATATGACCAGTTGCCTTTGTGTGTTTCTGAATGTGTGTGTGTGTCTGTATCTGAACATGTGTGTATATATCTAAATGAGAAGGTCCTCCAGTGGTGTATCTACGACACTCCATTCACCAGCGGAGGAGCGTCTTGTTTGTCCTTCTTCATCCCTCGGTCTCTGATGGGTCTCTGATGATGATGACGGGAAGGGCCGTCACCGCCGACACCACCCTGGGAGGAGGAAGGCCCTCCTCCTCCTCGACCCCCTGACGAGTGTTGCACGCTTCGCTCGTTGTTACCGTCCACACGGATCTGTGGGAAAAAGGAAATGAGTACAGTCTGGTCCCACAGTGCACAGGTTCAGAGAGATGAGAAACATGATCACTGGTGAAATGGCTGTTTGCTAAGCCCTGTCCCCTGTAGTTACTGTTACTATGAATGTCAAACTTTACACTGATACTTTACATATGCAGATTATAGAGACTGCGGCAAATATAACTGTTGAGGGTTGTTTTTCATTGTTTCCAGAGCACTCATTTTATAACAAAACTCTAGTGAGTAATTAAGACCAATTCATGCTTTTGTGTTGAAGCTATAGCGTAGGTACGCACATAGCATATGCTAAGGGCTGAGTATTCATAGTTTTGCAAAAGAGTGTGTGAGTCACACTGTAATTACACCACCAAAACACTAGAGGTGGTTGAGTTTCTATGCTGGTGTTGAGTGTCCTTCGGTTTTTGGTCAGCTTATTTACAAATTCTGTGGCATCTCTGTTTACCTTATAATCAATGGCGAGTATTACTGAGTGGAACATGTTGGAGTCAAGGCTGATAGATGTTGAAGAGCAATCACTAAATCTTAATGAACTGCAACAAAGTTTGTCCCTTCAACTCAATTCAAACATGGCACCGAGTCTGTCAGAAATGCAACGCTACCAAGCGGACCAATCACAGCTCTTGCAGTCTGCGATGCTTTGACGCGTAGTCACATTTTTGGGGAGTTGAACGTCAGAGTACAGCATTGGGCTCTGCAGCAGCGTCCAGCTGACGGGTGGTGAAGCATCAGAGGATCCTATGATTTTATTTATCGGCCCTGATCACTAAAAGCTCTCGACAATTTCACTGGTGTCCACTACATGTGTGGCACCACCATTTTATCCTGAGGTATTTGTTTGTTTTTCTCATTTTTGTGGCACGTTAGAAACGTCATCAACACGTCCACTCGCTTGTGCTGAATCCTGTAAAATGATCTCCTGGTATTTTCTCACATGAGCTGATTCTGACATTATCCAGAGCTTTTACGGGGGGGAATGATGGGAGCCTCTCAGTCTGACATTTTTGATCTCACATATATCCGCTCCGAAGAATATCAGGAGACTATAAAGAATTCAGTGCATGTCTGAAAGCAGCTTTAGAGGTGGAGCTGCCGCTGATCAGATGTTCGACCCATGCTCGAACACCCTGTCGCTGTTTTGTAGTTTGTTCCTGCTCGTACCAATGTGAGTAGCACCAGCCCATGTTGAGCGGGAGCTCCACTAAAGATTTGCTGTTTCTGAGATGCTTTGACTCAGTTATCTGGCCATAATGATTTGGCCATTGTCAAACTTGCTTCAGTCTTTTCACTTGCCCTTTATTAGTACAAACCCGACAAGTTGACTACAAGAGTTGAGTGTTTGTTTGCAGTCATAAATGTCCCATCTGTTGACAGATAATCAACATTTGCTTTCATTTGGCAATTAAGATTTTTTGAGAGGGGGGCTGCTTGCAAACTGTTAATAAAACCATCAATTCTGAAACCAGCTAGGATCAAATCAGTAAAAAGATACTTTTTTTTTTTTTTTACATTAGTTTGGACTTAAAAAGTCAATTTTCCACACACTTGCTGAAACTGTTTGTTATTAGAGTGAGTCGAATGGTAAAATGTGTGTGTTACCTGTAGGCTGTCTTCCTGCGCTCTTGTCTTGGGGTCTCTGATATGACGAGGTCTTGGATCACACCATTGCATGTCGTCACCTAAACCAAGACAAAAACAATCCGTAACCAGACATGAAGCTAAAATTTCCCAGGTACGATTGCTGTTATCTTGCATCGATCACGTCTTCTGGAGCCAATGTATGGGCAGCAGTGATGAGGGATGGAGTTGCCGAATCCAGGTCTCTTCAATACATGCACTCAAACAATCAAGTCAGTCAGTCGGTTTTACCCCTTTTTCAAAAGCATCAAATAATTGATTTAAACCGTATCATAAACATGAACACTTGAACAAACAGTGAGGTAAAAAATAATTTCATGTGTATTTTTTACTGTAGTTTGGTCCATGTCTGATTTGCTTACATGGAGGAGGCAGGGTTTACGACCTCTACTGCAGCCAGCCACCATGTGGGGATCAAGATGCATTGGCTTCACTTATGGAGGAGCCGTCACGTCATCGATCTTTATTTACAGTCTAAGACCTCAACTGAAAAGATTTCATATGCGTCCCCACAACTTGATGGGAAGATGACAACGGGTGATAAACTTATTCTGGAATCAAACACCACTCACTCCATCACTGTCAAGCAGCCAAACCCTCACATGTCCCTACATGACTTAAGTGAGGAACTCTTGACAGGGTAATTTATGAGCATCATAAAAAAAGCAAACACTCATAATGAGAATTTATTAGAGTCTGCGGAGATCGCATTATTTGATTCATGCCCACTCTTCAGGCTATAATTTGATGAAATGCAACTTAAACATATTTATTCCCATTCACCATACGAAGTGACTTCTTGAAACATCATCTTTAAAATCAACTACAGTCAAACAGGGGAAAGATAATGAACAGTTGAATAACTGATTTAGAAATTTTTTTCTGGATTTTCTTATAGAAATCTTTGACTTGTCTCCATAAATTCTTCAAAACATCTGCAGAAAAAAAATCTCTTGCTACAAATCGGTCAAATAACTGACAATGATAATCACTACCAACCTTTATACCCTCCTCCTCTTCCTCTCCCCCCTCGTCCCCTCGGTCCTCCGCCGCCTGCTCTCTTCCTCCCATCTGTCCTTCTGGGCAGGGTCCCGCCTCCTGTCATCAGCTCCTCGGTGCAGGCCAGCGACCAGTCGCTGAGCTCCTCTCTGTGGTCTGACTCTGTCTCTGAAGCATTGGATGCCTCTGAGTTAGTGCCTGGGGAACAGAGGATATATTGAAACCTCATTTAACAGCATTGGAAAGACAACATGGCATTAACCTTTGATTCATTGTTTAGTTTTAAAATGAAGTCATCGCCTAGGGAAGACAGGCCTTTATTCAGTACTTGTAGTCTTGTACTAGCTGCATGTTTCATATCCTTTCTATCAAATGTCAGAAATCTAAACACCGAGTGGACACAACACTAGTTAGTGTTAGTTTTTTGCATTAAAAGCTTCAGGTATTCAGTTTCCCTTGTACATGCACAGGCTAAGTTCTTTATAAATATGTGATGATAATTATATTACTTTGAACAGGTGTTAATTGGTTTTCTTGTTTGTAGTTATTTTATTGTACCTGAGGCAAAAGCTGCACCTCCTCCTCTTCGTCCTCGCCCCCCTCGTCCTCCCCCTCCGGTGTAGGGCTTCCCTCCTCCTCCTGCTCCCCTGCCCATTCCCAGCCCCATGCCGTTATCGAACACGTAGGTTTTGTCTTTTAGATTCCGAGGTCCTGTCCCTCCTCCTCCTCCACCTCCTCCTCCTCCACCTCCTCCTCCTCCTCCTCCAATCTGTCTCAGCTGCTCATCAATCTGGAGACGCTCTAGACGGAGCTGATCCACCTCCTGTGGACATTGACAATTGGAAAAAAGTTCAAGTTGTTTATTCTGGTTTAGATCACATTCGAAACACAGACCCCGTTCGGAGATGGCATTAACATCCATCCTGAGTGACCTGATCATAAGCGATCCACAAAGTTAAAGTCGGAACACACACAAATGAGTCCTCAATGCATCTTGAGATCTGAACAATCGGACCACATTCAGAGGTGATCTGGCTACATATGACGGAAAAATTATTCAGCTGACGTTCTTTGACTCGCTTTAGTTTAATACTGAATCAAAAGTATTTTCAACGCTCTTTGCATCAGACACATCAGTAAACTCAGACTGGCAAAAACATAATTTGGTCTTCAGGAACAGAAATGATTGAGTCACGATTATTTGCACATAGAGTTGTAACGTGAGATCCAATCACAAATGGTCACAGGGGACAGCATTTTAATACCATGGGTGAACAGAGAAACTTAGAGCTGTCCACTTGCGATGAGATGTCTCAGGACAAATGTTATTACCAGGTCTGAGCAGCCAAAAGCATGAGCTCAAAGACAAATACAATGCAGTGCTAATCACATATTCAGCTCAGATAGTTAATTAATTCATAAAGTAAACAACTTTAAAATATATGTGAAAATAGTTTGTGTTGCTAAGATTAAATTAAATCTTGCTTAGTTAAATATACTTTTAACATTCAGTATTGCCTTGTGTAATTTTAAGCATTATGCCGTTAGGCCTAAGTTTGATGTTGTTATGACTGTTGATTACACAGACCTTAAGGTAGTTCAGATGGTAGTCCAGCAGTACTGTAGCATTGGAGATGCTTTCCTTGGTCCCCACAAAAACAAATGGCACCAATCCCTTTGAGAGAGATAAAAGAACAACAAAGAGAACAGTTCACATACTCACACTATTGCAGTTTTATATATTTATGGAGTCAGTCAATATTATTAATAGGTCCACTGTGCAGGATTTAGGGAGATGACTAGATTATTTATAATATTTTTTAGATTATTGCTGTGGTTTTCTTTAATTGTTTCTATATAGGAAGTAGGTCCTCTTCCATGGAGTCTGCCAGGTTTCTACAGTAGCCCAGAATGGATAAACCAAACCCTGGCTCTCTAGAGGGCCTTCTGCAGTTTTACATAAACCAAAGGCCATTGTACCACACTATACTCTTCTACTATTCCATTAACAGATGCCTATAAACTCTACACAGTGAACCTTTGAAATACATACAATAACAGGGGTTCACAAACTATTCCGGCTAAGGAGGCCAACTTAAAATCTCAAATTATTAATTAATCATGAATAACAATAGGGGATGCAAATAATATATGACTATGAAAAACTTCTAGTTTGTGTCGTGATGTGTAGCATAGTTTCTGCCCCACTGACCTCGTCTGCTGCTGCTGCCGCTGCTGCCGATGGTTTTTTGTCATTTTCAGGTTCAATACGAACCCGCACCACACCGGACTTATCAACCACTTCCTGGATCAGTTTACCATTCTTGCCAATCACTTTCCCTGTGAAGACAGACACATCATCTATCACTGTCTGCTGGAACTCCAGAGTTTAATCGTCTGGCTAATCCTTAAATAAAGTCATGTTACCGCATGAACGTTCTCATCATCTCAGTTGAGTGATTTTTCTCACCTACTAAGTTCCGGGGAACTTTGATGACATCTTCAGAAAACTCCAGGAAACACCTCGCCAAGCGGACAGCCTCCTGGTCCTTAGAAAACCAAGCACAACGATGTCACATAAAATATAAACATGACACTTTAATGTCGCTTTAAGCTCAGGTCTGTACTTGTAAATCCAGAGACAAGAGGGACAGGTGTGCATATATATATCAATCCTACCTCTCCATATATGTGAAAGGTGCATGTTTCTTCATCCAGGTCTATGTTAGTGACTCCTGGGACTTTACGAGCTTGTTGAATGTTCGCTCCGTGAGTCCCAATGGCCAGACCCATTAAATCATCCCTAACAGCAAACTGTTCATGAAACCGTGATGCAAGCTGTCTGGAACTCTGTACAAACACACACAAGGAAAATGAATCAAAGGGCAAAATGGAGCAAACATGAATTATGACTCTGATGATGACAAGTCTTAATTTGTGTGCGAGTGGATCAATGTTTACCTCCAGTTGTCGGCTGGCCTCTTCGTTCCTCATTATGAGAGACAGTTTGGTGCGGAGGCTCCTAAAGTGCATGTCACTCATCATATTGGCACGTTTCATTGTGACCTCATTCACTGACTGCGAAAACAATGAACACCCATTTGAGACAAAGTATCTTAATGTGGAACATGTTAGTGATGGCATCATCTGCAAAACGTAATGCAAGTGACTTACTACAAATGATTTTAGGTCATACATGTGTACCCCAGTAACAGAGGTTTGTATTATGTGTATCAAATGTAATTCAAGAGATGGACTTAAGACTTTTGTCTTGAGATTTTTAAATAAAAAGATTATTATTAAGTACCAAGATGACCAGCTGCTTTTTCTCTGAGTCATAGGTGACAGTGAACGCTCCCACAGCCTTCTTAAAGTCTTTGTGTACCGATTCCTTGGAGCACCTGTCAAAACAGTCACACAAATTATCATCATGAGAATTCATGACCATTAATACTTCAGTCATCAGGGGCATGAGTGTACAAATCTTACATATATCACAGATTTGTGCCTAATACAAATTTTTAGTCTTTTCAGAGCAAAACACAAACAATTATAGCCATTTCTTATAAAAGACTGGTAAGTATTATATTATTGCAGGTTTTAGACAGAAACCAAGAATAATGGGTGCTACACATTTAAGTGCTGTATTAGTGACACATACCACATATGGCATCAACACTGTGCCAGCTGTAAACATGCTGACACCTCACAGATGCAGCTACAGATCAGCTGTTTAAGAGTTGTATGCTACTGGTAATATACAACTGGTCTCACACTGCTTCAATACAACAGCTACACAACTGGTTCTGTCAGTCTTTCTCCCCCAATTTCTCACAGATTGCTGCCTACACTGAAGCTGCTTTTAGACCTGCACTGAACTCCAACAGTCTCCTGACATTCTCCAGAGTGGCTGTATGTGAGAAGGTCAGAGTTAGAGGCTCCGGAGTTTCTCCTGCCTGGCCCCATGTAAAAACTCTGCCGGTGTAGATGTGCTGTACACAAAAACACATGATTTCAACACCAGAATTAATACGTAGCCACCCCTAGCCTGATTCTTGCAAGCCGAGAATCTTCTGCTGTGTCGTTCATGTGTCAAAGTTCAGTCTAGTCTTAGTCTGGTTGTGCTCGATGTTTCTTTCTGTTTAAGGGAGTTTTTATCTTTCCAGTCGTCAAGTGTTTGCTTGTTATGGAACTGTTGGGTTTCTCCACAATATGATATACTATATAAAGTGCCTTTACGTAATGTATGTTGTGATTTGATGAGACAGAAATAGAGATTAATAACTGTATTGAATTAAGATGCATGCGGTTGACATAAAAGTCTTTGTCTTCATGTCAAACTTACATCTGTCGTAGATCCTCGGGTACATCCAGTCTGATCTTGATGAATGTGTTTTTTGTGGCTGGTTTGTTTGGGTTGACTGGCCGTAACCTCTCCAGTGTCACAATCTCATTTAATGTAGCGTCACATGCAGCATATTCTATTACGTAGAACTAGAGACATAGACAGACAAAGAATTGTTTTAACAATCCAAATTGTTCATGGAATCTAATCATCTGTTTAAATAACAGAATTACAAACTTCTGGAAAGAATGTGGGTATGGGAACAAGTGAGAAAGAGCCAGTAAGTGAGAGACAAAGGAAGAGTTGCAGATATTAAAAAATGCAGGGGATGAGATAAAATAAAAAAACAGGTCAGTAACAAAAATGGGTAACAGAAGTAAAACCAACAGCTCAGAGCAGTGAGACATAACTGACACATAAACCTAAATCCAATCTGCCAACTACTTGCCAGCTGAAAGTAAAATCCCCCACCAATTTAAAACTGACTGTACAATTAAAACTTATAATCTACACTTCATGGCACTGAAACTGAGCATTGATGTAGAACTCAACAAAACCATGTATCACATCGTTGTCATGCTGATTTTACTTGCATTATAACTTTATACCCAGTATTGTTTTGGTTTTTCCGATCCCTGCGCTAAATCCATCATTTTAAATTGGTTCCAGTCCCTGAACTGTGTGGGTTTTTTTTTTTATTCCTAAGGCAAATTGGAAGAAGAAATTTCACACATTAAGTGTTAACAGTTTAAAGTATACTTAATTTAAATATACAAATATAATTAAGTACAAAAGTATGACTTTTATAACTTATATTATAAAAAATCATAAATAAAACGTAAACCAACTACAATAATTTAACACTGAATAATACTCCAGCTCCAAACTAGTCGTTATTAGTCCCCCCACCATCGGCGTAAGGGACACCTGTCTGATGTGCTTGATATGGAGTAATGCGAGAAGTCAAACACGAAGCATCTCCCTGCTTTTAAATGTATCCATATGTTGCCAGGTGCTTCATTTAGTTTGACGCATTCCTTCCATCCCTCATTCTTCTTCTCTCGTTTTACTGGCAGTAGCTACTAGGTAACTGTAGGCTGAGGATATGTGGTGTCGGAGCCATGTAGACAGTGTGCCGTCACCAGAGTTGAGTGTAACGTTAACAAGGCACATGCAGTGATGTTCCCTGTAAGCAGGTCAACTAGGTCAGTGCATAACTCAGAACTGAAATCTGTGTTTTGATTTAGTCTAGTTTGTACTGGATGTGAAGAAACTGGAGCCTGACTTTGGTGCACAACGCTAGTCTTAAATTGTATATTGAGAGTTAGAAAACATGCAGACTGAGCCTTACCTCTCCTTTAACCATGCGAACCTTGGCCAGCCACCACCCACATGGCTCTTTGTCATTAGCCCTGGAATATACCTGGTAACACACACAGTATTTCCTAAAACGTTCCACTCATAAACAGGTTTAATTCAGGGATTAACTGATGTGTGTTTCTCTTTCATGTCATTTAAAAGCAAGAATCTTTAAAGACCTTTTTGAGAACTTCGCAGAAGTAAACTGCTAAACCCAAATCATTTAAAGCAGAAAAATGGATGATCTGCTCATGAAACATTTATTAAACAGTTAGGGCGTTCTCTGATAAATTCTGAAGAACACATTTAAATTATTCAGTGGACTGATTTATTTCCTTTCACTGATCAAAACACAAATGAATGAACATAGCAATAAGAAAAAAAGTTAGGGTTGGGTATAGAACTCGTACTTTTAAGGATACTGACAGATTACGTCAGTACTACCGGGCACTGATTCACGCTAAATCAATCTGTGCCAAATTTTGGAACGCATCTGGGTGAAAGAGTATGTATACGTGAAAGGGAGTGAAAGAGAGAGTATACGTTAAATAAGAGAGAGAGCAAGACCATGTGACTCACCCCTGGAATGTGATCAAGCCAAGCTCAGCACCAGGGTATGGACCCAGGGACCGTCAGAGTGTGCACAGCCCAGCCACAGCTCCACCAAGGCAGACACCCAGTGAGCCATGCACAGCTCCACTAAGTCCACTTATAGTGTTCATTTGGGTCTTTTCATACTTTTTTGGACGTAAAAAAAATATTTTTTACAGTTTTTAATGGCTCTGTCAGTAATTTACTGCTCCTCTCTGTGTCTCCATCAAAATTCTGTTGTTTTTACCCAGACTGAGTTTACACGTGTGTGAATGCATGTCAGCACGAGAGATGAACTGAATTATGAATGCGCAGTCACGAAAAAAGATTTGACTCATTGAAGAAAAGCATTTATCTTTGATCAGTGATCACTAGAAGTGGTTTCCGCTGGACTGGAATTTTGTCATGAGGTGGACGCCTTGCAATTCTCTATGCAGGAAAACCCTGGTTGGACATTTTTTTATTATGCTGTGAGAGTAAAGTACCGACCAGTACCGGTTGAAATGTGAACGATACCCAACCCAAGTGAAATCAGATATAAAAACATAATTTGTAGCACCAACTTTACACCACATGTAATCTGCAGCACAATGTGCATTTCCTCTCCTCACTACCAGGTCAATGTTTCATCTTACTAGACCAACTTTGTCTTTGGTGTTAATGCTGATTTTCTTAAAACAATTCTGAAGGTATTGAATCAGTCCCACCTCGACCTCATCGCTCTCATTTATCTCTTTGCAGAACCCTGTTGGAGGAGGAAATCGCACATCCTGGAATGGGATCTGACGTTCCGGCTGCCAGCTAGGGCAGAGGAGCACATACAAAAATAAAAGTTAATTTGAGCACTGGCAAATTTAACACTGAACAATACATCATAACTTGTTGTGTGTTTTACTCACTTGTTTTCAAAAGCCACAGTGACTGATCCTTCATGAACATCCTTCACAAAGGCCTAAAAAATCCAAGAAGGGAATTACAAAAATTTAAATAATAAGAATTTTACATACTTACATACAAAAAATCAACAGGAGTGTTACACCGGCTTCAAGCATGCAATTCAGCAACCCAACAGCCCAAAGTGATTATTTTTGGGGGGGGGTTTGGCTTCGTCAGGTTTGTTCTCTCTCTCTCTGGTTGTGCACATAGTCTGCATTCATGTGTGTCAAGTACTGCAAGTAGGACATACAATGCCTCAGAGGAAAAGAGAGATGGAGAGTCTAGCCTATGGGTAGCATTAGCCTAGTAAGCTAGTGGCTGTAATGGATTAAATCGAGTAAAACCTTGTAAAAACGGGGGCTTCTCAAAATCCCCAAAGAGTCAAGGAAAGCTTTTTAACTGAGCTCACATTATGGCCTTCTTGACCCACAATGGAGAATGTACATTCAGAAGCTGTGGGCAGATTATGACAGTTTGAATGGTGAGTCTTAGGAACAAAGTTTTAAGAGGCCAAATTTGGAGAATGTTCAAAGGGAGAAAGGCTTTCTTTTATTTCTTACTAGTAAGGATATCAAAAGATGTAATGGTGTCATGTGCTGGCAGTAAGGCTGATTTGAGTCTTCCTCAGAAATGAACACAATTCAGTTGATATTGAATATGCTAATTAAGGACCTCAGCTTATTTTGAAAAATTAATAGAGTCAAAGATGCAACTATCATTTTCCACCTACCATTTTCATTAATCTTTAAAAGGCTACTTAAAATATCTTAACCAGAAATTTCATGAACAACCTCTTTTAAAAGCTGTTAGATTTAAAAAGCATATGTTCATCAATAGCATCTCAATTCCTTTTTACAATCAAAAATATAAATCCTTAAAGCATGTGATCCGCAATAAGCTGCAACCTATTTGGCTCTGTTAAACACAAAACATGAACTAAATGCATGTTGGAATTAACATCCTGGACCCAGGCTGGCATCAGAGTTCACTATCATACCAAATGAACCACTGAACAGCATCAGTGTGTCTCTTAGAAACACATCTACCTCCCACAGCTTTATGTTCACACAGGGATTTGTTTCTTTTTTTGGACATACTTATTACTCGTCACTGCTAAAACCAACAATGAATAATGATATAGTTGTATAATCCAAAAGTTTTACCTAGATAATGACATGCAACTAATTTTAAGAACATAATTGTCATCTCCTTAAAGAAACTAACAAACCGACTAAATGCATCTGGTATATTTAAATCTAGGTTGCGCTAGAGTATCTAAGGGGCAGATATCTGTAACAATGCTCACATCTCACACAAACATGGATTTTCTGTGGATATCCTTAAAACAATATAATGCTGACTGTTTAACATTTGGAATAATACCTGCTTTTCAAATTCCAGGCCAGCAGCACTATTTGCAATTGTGTCAGCTGTGGCTTAGGAGGTAGTGGGTCAGTGGTTCAATCCCCAGCTCCTCCAGTCTGCATGCCAAAGTGTCCTTGGGCAGGACACTGAACACCCCCCGCCACCCTAAATTACCCCTGACAGCTGGGCTGACAGTGTATGAAAGGGGTGTGATAGAAGAAGAGGTATGTAGAGAATGTGTGTGTGATGGGTGAAACTGACTTGTACAGTAAAGCGTTTGATTGGTAAATAAGAATAGAAAGATGCTATACGAATGAGGTCAATTTGTTATTTTCAATGATTTATTTTATCTGGAACATGCTTTAGAGTCTAGGAACTAATTTCAAAGCGTTGGCGATGAATGAAGCAAAATGCACATGCCAACATTCAGGTTAAATGAAGTTTTGCAGGAAAGCTGGGTGACTCATAGCTTTTTACAACTCACAGTGATTTCCCATGGTTGTCCTTTGCAATCACATGATTTCAAACAGTTTGGCAACAGCAAAGTTTTGAATTCTAGAAAGGTGATAGTTGGTGCAAGCAATCACAATTAAGGCCAATTAGAGGAGCTTCTGTCTATAATCTGTAGAACTTGCATTAAACAGTCAGCACATGTGAATATTCAATTGATTTTACAATCAAACATGATGTTAATAAAACACTGATTATTATTTTATTGCCTTCCTTACACCCTTCCTGTTAAAAACGCCTCAACTGTTCTCAGAGAACAACCACCTCCAAAACTGGAAATGAATGTGCATCCTACAGCAAATCTTTCCAATGTTAATAATTTTAAGGCCTTGAATACTTCTCCCACCACTGACCCCGTGTGATCAACACCTGCCCAGGTAGGATTGACCCAAATGCACAACCTCCACAACTCATGCTCATCCTACTTGTTGCCTTCAGAACCACTCACAAATCCTCAGCAGCATGCGTGAAATAAACACAAGACACAGACTTGCTGCAGTTATCCTGAATTAGGCTCCTCTGAAAAACAATGTATGTATGTTGGAACTTGGTGAACCTGCAGCCCACTGCCCATCACACAGCCCATCGGTTTGATAAAACATGTCTCCACCAGCATCCCCACTCCAACTACAATGATTTACCACCGACACCATCACCGATAACTCAGTTACTCAACAGGCAGCTTGTAGCAGCAGACTGTCGGTGGCTTTGTTTACAGATTTCCAGCCTTCACGTCCCGGTGGAGGCTGAACAGAAGCACTGAGGCCCGCAGATACAAACAAATGTTTCCTAGCTAATCCGCCAGGGTAATTTCACATGAGTTAGCCTGAGGTTAGTGCACGGTGCAGTGTGTGAGATGACAAAGCTCCACAAAAGGTGTTTACCTACCTTATAAAAGGCCCCACTGGTCCCCCTCACTTCCGCGACTAGTTCATCCATGACGCAAGTTACTAGCTAGCTAGCTAACCACCGTTAGCGACGTGAGTAGCTAGCTAGCTAACCACCGTTAGCGATGTTAGTAGCTAGCTAGCTAGCTTGCTAGCCTGACGCTAGCCAAGGCAGTTTGCTATCGTTGGCGTCGCTAGCGAGACAAAATACCCTGCCAGCGGAGAGCAGGAAGCGGCCAAGATCACTGTCTGTGGCCGGGATGCGTGTCTGCTTCTGAGCCGTCTATGAATCCTGCTCTTATTTCCGTCACACTTGCACTCCCCAATGTTTGATAATGCAAAGCGACCCTGTAGCTAGCCCGGTTAGCTTGTAGTAGCTAGTTATGTTAATGTGTGGTGAGTGGTGAAGCAGCCGCTGCTGGTCGCATCTCTCCATGTGACGTCTCCACTTTCTTCCTCTGCTGAGGACACGCTCACCCACACTGTGACTGCTCTCCACAGGTGACACAGGAGAATGTCCCCGGTCACTCATCCCAGCATCTGAGCACTGTCTTTCTATTAACAACACAATCTTACTGTCATTCATAATTATTTTTATTATTATTATTAACAACAATACTCTTGTTATTATTATTATGATGATGATGATGATGATGATGATTATTATTATTATTATCGTGGAGTAGAGATATTTTATTCTTATCCATAGGTTGTCTGGTTAGACTTACTCCCTGTTCGGTTAATCTTTTTATTTTCATGTTCCCTTAGTATGAACATATGTGTGTATATATAATAATTACATTATTACTTTTGTCCGTATGTGTGGCTTATATACTAGTTTGAATTCTTTAATTACCCACTGTTTTCTTCATACATTGCATGTTGACTATTTCAGAGGCCTGTTAATCAATCTACACAATTTTCAGCCCCAATGTCCCAACTTTTCACAATAAAAGCTCTGTAATTCAGCTCAGTATGAAATATTGCAGCAACAAAACAAACACTGTGCTTTTACTTTCAAGAAAAAGCTGTGACTCCTGTGAATGTTTGTGTCACTGACATCACTTGACCTCTCACCTGATAAAGACCATGGAAAGGATGATGCTCAAGCACCTACGCCCCCTGGTGAGCTCTTTGCTGAACTCCCTACAGTTCCATATCAACCAGGCTTTGGTGTGCACAGGTCTCTGGAGAACACCAGGAGCACCGTGAGAGTCATGTATTTTGACTTCAACACAATTCAGCCATCCCTGCTTAGGGGAAAGCTGGAAGGAGCTGCAGTGAACTGCCACTTGGCTGCATGGAGCATCGACTACCTCAACTACTGACCACAGTATGTAAGGCTTGTTCACCATATACAATGCTGCTGTAATATTGCAAATTTCCCCATTGGGAGAGTAATAAAAGTCTTCTTATTCTTCAGACACACCATGGACAGCTGCTCTTAACACTAGTTCTGACTTAATATAATTTTGTTCAGTGCACATTAGTGCACGTTATTCAATAACATTTCTATAAAAATGTCTATAGTGAGGTTGTACATTATGTACAAACTCTTTATTTTTATTAATTTTTTAGTTTATTTTTATTTATTTATTGCCTTTTTATATATTTGTATTCTCTTTTCTACTTCATTCTGACTTGCCTGCTGCTGTAAAAACTGAATTTCCCCAGTGCATGGATTAATAAAGTTTTAACTTATCTCTCTTATCTTATCTCTTATTGAGTGTATCACGTATTCAAATTACACTAGAGTCAACAATGCACTTCCCTCGACCATTAACAATACACATGCCAAGAGTGAAGTCGATAAGATGACCGTCTCTCAAGATATGTGTTCCACATGCAGACGGGCTACACCAAATTACACCCACTCATGAATATCAGATAAACATGACTGATGTTTTTCATAAAGATGCATGAGTCATTCCCTGGAAAACCAATGGAGATGTGACAAAACAACCAATCGCACCAAACAATGTAATACAACATTTTTGTTCAGATCCATGCCAAATGTTAATGAGTTCTTCGCTGGCCTTAGTCCCATCTTTCCACTAAGTTGCAATAAAACTGGTTCAGTAGTTTTTGTATAATCCTGCTAAGAGACAGACATACAGCAATGAAAACATAATCTCCTTGGAGGAGGTAATAAATGGTCATGGATATTTTTAAACTATAGTGAGACTAAGTCATTTAGAAATGTTAATGTTCTCTCACCTGTAGAGTCAGTATCAAGATGAGTATTCAATAAAATATAACATGTTCTGTTTGACCTCTCTGATCATTTACAACTCTCTCAACAGCACTCATCTGCTCTATCCATTAAAGGACACATGAGCTGCTTGAGAATTACATTTTCTAGGCAGAGACTGGGGAGAGCCACAAGCCACATGATTGGAGAGTGAAAGAAAGATGCCCGATGCCAGCAAAATTCCATGAGGAGGCAAAGAAGGAGAAAAATAAGCACAGGAGGTCTGTGAAACACAGAAGCCCTGACAGAGAGCTATGAGACAGGCATAGGAGGACTTAAAGGGATCAACAACAGCGAGATCGAGACAGAAATAGAATTAGAGGGCAACAGAAACATGGTGACACATGAAGGGGGAAATGAGATACAAGGCAGAGAGAGGGAGAGAAAGAGAACGTGAAAAACAGACATGAAACCTGGACTTCCTGTGTGTGAGAGGGAAAACAGGCTCTAACAGAAAAAACCTTTGTTCGTGTATGACCAAACCAGACATTTTACTGAAAACCTCCTCATGTTAATGCTCTGGGGGCACATCAGCTCAAAGGTCAAAGTCTCCACAGAATGAGGCTTTGAGTCACATGGAGCTTCTTCAGCAGATTTATCAGATTGCAACAATGACAAAGAAGGCAGTGACAATCTGAAAACTCACCTCTATATGAGAGTAAGCATTGAGATTACTTGGGTGTAAAATAGTATAACCTCAGTGTATGATTCCTCATCATCTCTGTGAAGGCAGGTTTTATCGTTGAAGGGCAGGTCTGAAGTGACCTCTGACCTCTCTCCTCTACATTTGGTTGTTAGCTGCAGAAAGAGTCAGGCTACAAATGACAAGCAGCAATGGTGAAAAGTAAAATACAGAGTTTAACAGCTGTCAGCAAAGAAAACAGGGTCAGCAAGGCTTGTAATTGATTATCCATGTTGTGTACTACACTGCTAGCTGAAGCTAATGCTTCTTTGTTTCTGCCTGTCCAGACTAAAAAGCAGCCCTGGAGTTTTCAAACTAAAACTATTCAGCAATGCTTCAATACTTCTCAGTTTAAAGCAGCTCTAAAACTCCAGAGTAGTTTGGACGCCAGGTGTATCTGTGCGCTTTCAAACAAAAACGTATTGATGTAACCTATAAATTCAAAACTCATGTGTTACCAATTGTAAATGAAATG